AAAGAGTGAAGAGAACGAGTAAATATCATTTCTTTGAACCTTTTGATTTAGATTATAAATTTTTTAATTTAAGTGAGCTCGAATGTTGGACGTTTTAGGTTATGATTTACTTCTTTTTTTCCTTTCCTTTCCTTTCCTTTCATTTCTTGAGAATTGAATCTTCTGAGAATTGAAATTCCAACAAATCGTGTCTGAATCTATAATTATCCTGGGAATCAATCCTTTGGATTCATGTATTACTTGGTCTGTTTGAGGTATTACTTGGCATTCCCTTGAAGCTTGACACCTATAATAAAGATCTAAATGTTTCTGACTGTAATTTGTGCAGATAGCTGATGTGGTTATGCATGAGAATCCCGTGTCTTGTGTTTTTTGGTATGTCGGGTCGGTCATAGCTTTTGCTTCAAGATTTTTGGCTTTGTGTTTGATTTGAAGCTCCAGATGGAACCAAACACAGAGGAGGCTGTCATGGCAAAAGAGAATGCTGAGAAGCGATTTGCTGAAAGAGATTTTACTGGTGCAAAGAATTATGCTTTGAAGGCAAAAACTTTGTGTCCTGGATTAGAGGGTATATCTCAGATGGTGGCCACTTTTGAAGTTTATATTGCATCTCAGGCCAAATGCAATGGTGAAATTGACTATTTCTCTGTTCTTGGATTGAAGCCTTCTGCAGATAAAGATGCAGTGAAAAGGCAGTATCGAAAGATGGCGGTGTTGCTCCATCCTGATAAGAATAAAACTGTGGGAGCTGATGGAGCATTTAAACTAGTATCTGAAGCGTGGACTATGTTGTCAGATAGTCTTAAGAAAAACTCTTATGATATAAAGAGAAACAAAAAGATGGCATCATGTGTTGTTCAGACAAACCTATCTTCAGTTCATGCTGCTGGGGTTACAGGATACAGCCATTGTTCCAATTCACCTACTGCACATGGACTTGATACTTTCTGGACAGTTTGCACGTCTTGCAAAGTTCAGTATGAGTATCTACGGAAGTATGTGAATAAGAGACTTTCTTGTAAGAACTGCCGGGGTACTTTCATTGCTGTGGAAACTGGGGCAGCTCCAGTCAGTGGTTCTTTCCCCTACTGTCCTTGGTCATATGTCCCTGGTAATGGGCATAGAAGTCATGGATATGATGGGGTTGCATATGTCCCAACCACCTCTACCTTGTACTCAGGAAATGGGGTCTCAGGATTGCATACTGGACATGGGTACGAGTATGTTTCAAATTTATCATTTCAATGGAGCTCTTTCTCTGGAACTCCAGGGAGTGTTGTTGGTCCCAATGGATCATGTGCATTATCTGCCGATACTGTTTATCAGGCTAATGGAAGTGCCAGTGCAGCAAAGGTTAAACCAGCAGCCAATGGAAAGCGATCCGTGAAAACTGCCACAGCAAAGATATACTCTGATGTATCTGCAAGCTGTAATGAGTCGTCGGGCTCCAAGACTTGTAGACCTGATAAGAAAAGGAAGGTTGTTGATGGATCCGGTTTTAGAAATGGGTGTGAAGAAAAAGAACCTAAGTCTGGTTCTGAAGTAGGATTAGCTAATGGATATACAAATGTTGAGCATGATGCCAAGCTTTCCAGTCCAATTGAAGTTCCAACAAGACACAGCTCGATTGCTCCGGCTTTTGATGCTAGAAAGTTGTTGATTGACAAGGCGAGGACTGACATCAGGAAGAAATTGGAGGAGATGAGATTAGCTTCAGCTGCAGCGGTTAAAGAGAAAATGGAAGATCAATCCACAGAGGCAGGAGAGGCTCCTAAACAAGCAAATTCAGATGTTGCTCGTCATCAAACAAAGCCAAACAAAATAGGGCCAATCTCAATAACAGTCCCTGACCCTGATTTCCATGATTTTGACAAAGATAGAGCTGAGGAATGCTTCAAGCCAAAACAAATATGGGCATTGTATGATGAAGATGATGGTATGCCTCGCTTATACTGTTTGATTCGCCAGGTGGTCTCAGTTAAACCCTTCAAGATTCTCATCACGTACTTGAACTCTAAAACTGATGGTGAATTTGGGGCAGTGAATTGGATAGATTCTGGGTTTACTAAATCTTGTGGACACTTCAGAGCATGGAATTCTGATGTTGTTGATCAAGTGAACATTTTCTCTCATGTTTTGAAAGGTGAAAAGGCTGGTAGAGGTGGCTGTGTTCGGATATACCCCAAAAGTGGAGATGTTTGGGCTGTTTATCGACACTGGTCACCTGATTGGAACATATCAACCCCAGATGATGTCAGGCACCAGTATGAGATGGTAGAGGTCCTTGATAATTACTCTGAAGAGCTTGGAGTTTGTGTTGCTCCTCTGAACAAGTTAGCTGGTTTCAAAACAGTATACCAAAGGAACGCAGGCAAGGATGCCATGAGATGGATTCCAAGAAGAGAGATGGTACGCTTTTCTCATCGGGTGCCTTCTTGGTCACTTGAAGGAGAAGCTAGTAATTTGCCAGGAAAGTGTTGGGATCTGGACCCCGCCGCTACTCCAGACGAGCTACTTCATGCTGCAACAGAAGCGAAGGCATAGCATAGCCAGAATACCAGAGTCAAGCGGGAAAGCAATGTTTGTTTGGAGTTCAATTTACCATTCTTATAGAAAAATTTTAGGTTGACTGTACCATATTTCACACTTGGTTCAAAGCCATTGCAACATTAACTCCATATGATTTTAGACAACGTGATGTTTACTGAGAACTGTCGTATCTGGAATTCTGAGTCTATTGATTGCTTGTAGACAGAATTGTACTTGTGGTGTTCTATGCGGGTTGTTGTAACATTAATTAAGTGGTCAGAACTGATTGAGAACTCAACAGAAATGTAGTATCTGTATCTCGGCAAAGATTTGATGCCACAAATCGAAAGATTTAATATTCTTGAACTTCTTAGCAATCTGAGAGACTGTTGAGTCTGCTACTCGGTTTCTCCTTTTTAAATTCACGGCAGCACCCAGGAGGACAGGCTGATTGTAGGCCAACTGACTGGATCGTGATTTTTATTTATTTTTGGGTTCATGATCGTGATGGTTTTGCCGAGCACAAAAATGAACTTCGTTTTATACTGTTCTTTTCGCTTGTCTCTTCATGTTCATCTTCATATGCCCCGTTCGGAGTTGTCAAAATTAATCACTGCTTCCGTGCTGACTTGACTGTAAATTATGTTCCTCGTAAACAGTCTCCTTGAAAATTTCCATCAGGGTGGGTGCTCTCACAATTGTCTGAATCTCATGTTCGTATTGAAGTGAGAAGAAACAAGGCATCGACAGGCGACAATAAATGGAACTGAACATGTGCATTTTTCATGCATGGACTACAGATTTGTCAACAAAAAAGGGATGATTTATGATAATGGGCCTCGACAATGATACACCAAAAGGGGGCCATGAACATTAAAAGAAAAAAACCAGGTACGGTTGCTTCAGATAAACTGAGCCAGACATAGTGAAGGCTAGGACAGGCTGCTCATTAAGGAAAAAGCCTCGTCTCAGACTTCGTGTTCAGCACATCAACAATATAATGTGCCCAGCTCGGACCCAAGATGTCCCCTTCACGAAGGGCTGAAACTATGAGGAATGCGTGGGCTCTCGCAGCATGCAATTTTTGCTATTCCAAAGATAGTGTCTCCTCTTAACACCTACAAAGAACAGGTCCCAGGTCATCATGGACGGGCTTCGTAAAATTAAATGTGCTGAATTTCCCCTGAACCTTCAACAATAGCCAATAAAAGCACGTCCCTTATGTATAAATACTAGCAAAGTTAACACATATGGAGGCAAGACAACCCACTCCCTCAAGTTTTCTGTGATAATTTAAGCATTAGAGGGTCCTCTTAGTACGATAAGGGGCTTGTTTTGCATATTGTATTTTGATTCTCACTCCTAATTCTATAGACTAAGCTTGCAGCCTGACATCAAGCCTGTCACATTACCTTTTAAGCATTAGAGGTGCCTCTTAGTACGATAACGGGCTTGGTTTGCATATTGTATTTTGCTTCTCACTCCTAATTCTATAGACTAAGCTTGCAGCCTGACATCAAGCCTGTCACATTACCTTATTCAAGAGAATTCAAGACGAGATGAGAAGAAGGCTTCATCACATAGATAAATGTAGTTTGCAAAAATGCCGTATATTTGTTTTTTTCATAGTTTAATAATACTCTCAAGAAAATATCTTCCGAAAACTAGTAATTGTGACTTTTGAGTTTTGACTCAACCATATACATATCCTTGAGATAGACCGTTTTGAAATTTGAAGGACACCCCCTCCCCCTGATTTTAACCCTTAAACCATGAAGTATTTTGATTGACACCTCTTCCACCATATTCTGTCCAATTTGACTGGTAAATATCACACGCTTTCTTTAAAAGTCAATCAAATAATTCTAGATTAATTTTGCTATCTATTTTTAGAAACTATTATTAAAAACTAAGTCCTTAGCGTAGAAGGATTATAGCTTCGTAAATCAAATGAAATGTATAATTCGTGCTTGACTTTAACACATTAGAAATAATATGGGTAGACTAATCTATACAAATAAAAAAAAATAAAAATGAAAGAAATAGAAAACAGATAAAAGTTGTAGAGAAAAAGAAAGATAAATTGCAAAAGGAAAATTACATAAAGAAATTGTGTATATAGAGATAATAATCATTTTCTGCTATTAGATGATTTATTTATAATACTATAAAGATGGAATTCACACATATTTGAAATCCTAATCCTATGAAAACCATCTATGACATATAAGAACTTTGTAATTTATATCATAGTACAACTTGTATTTCTTATTTATTTATATCTTTTTAGTAATTATATGTGTTATTATTATACTACTACTATATATATATGTATCTGTCTAACTACTAAAGGTTTTCATTTTGAATAGATTTTATGCATCGATTGTTTAATATAAATTATAATCTTATTAGTTGTTGAATGATCTCAACTATTTTCACTGGTTGAAGATTAATTCCATCAAACTACATATGTTTTTTTTTTTTGATAAACAATGCTCATATTTTTTTTTTAAAATGAAGAAATGTTGATCACCTATTTATACTCGAATCAATTAACAAATTGATCATTGTATAACGTGATTTATCTATTTTTATGATAAATTAGGCTCAATTTTATTTTATAATGATCATGTTTATAATTGATCATCAACACTGTATGTTAGTATTGTGATAAGTGTTTGTCATTATTGATTATTGATCAAAGAACTTGTCTTGTAACACCCCCAACTTTAAGGATTAAATCATTTCATTATCTTCATAAATGCATGAAAAGAACAAGAAATTTTATTTTTTATAAATTGATTCCATGACCCAAATTCTTAATAACTTATTTATAATCTTGTTAATCATGGTTGATGATTCTACAAAACATCTGGCAGGGTTTCACCTGCACCTTGACATATCTAGTTATTAATATGTTTACTCCCAATCACAATGTAATTTTCTAAAATTTCAATCATGATCAAAACATTTTAGATCGTATCTCATTCAAGACCAATCATACTTTTCAAATTTACATCATACTCATTCATACATTTAAACAACCATACATATAAAAATCTAAAGAACTTACAATATAATAACTATCAACTTATAATCAATTCAAGAATATATAACCAACAAATACCCATACAAATATCTATTCAGCACCTTATATTAAAATCCGTATTAACATCATGTACATTATTAGTTTTACTAATAATACTTTTAGTTTTTACAATATCCAACATAAATTTATATAATTTTCCATATTTTAACTATAATCTATTTACATACCATTTAACAAAACTCTACCATTTGATAATACTATATTGTTTTATCACAACAACTAGGATGATCATAAGCCTACACTATATTAAATTTGCCTGACTTGTGATGAATATGTAAAACCTTTAATTTTTTAAAATAACATTCATGTTTTTGCAATCCAACACTAAATTATCACATAAGAAACCCCTTATGATCGTCATAACTCTAGTAACTCATTTAATTGTCATCAATCCAATTATTCTCTTACAGATACTAATAAATCAGATAATCCTTCTAATTGTCAACAATTTGGTTATCCCCTCACAAATGCCAATAAATTTAACAATTCTTTTGATTATTAACAATTCGACAATTCTCTCACGGATATCAATAAATCCAATAAACTTTTTCAATTACTAATAATCTACATCATTATCATTTACTTTGTTCCTTCTTCACAACAATTATAACATATCTAATAACCAAAATATTAAAATTAATCAATAAAATAATTTTATAAATTCAAGTGTAGTAAAGAACACCTACCTACTACTCGAAAGGGTCTTTCTCCACCTGTTTGAGATTTTGGTTCTGTAATCTCCTTTGAATTAATAGGATTTTACCACATTAATTCATATCCATAAGGTCTAAAGTGTTTAAATTCTAATTAAACACAATTTCTTTATTCTTACCCAACATACCAAAAATCCCATTTAAAGTCATCTCATTTTCATCAATATTTTTATATGCATTAATTACATACAACTCGTATTTATTCATGAAATTTCACAATTTATTTTTTATATTCCCTTGGTTAACCTATACTTCTCAATTAACAACATAGGTTTCTTTTCTCATTTTCACCTTATTTAAGCTATTTTTTCCCCTTTCTTTAATATAAGCATATCTCTTAGTATAGATTACATATGACATCTTCATTATATAATTATATCAAACTTTCTCATTTATCACCTACCATGGTTGACCCTTCCTCCCTACAAATCACCATGATCCCTTCTTCAATTCTTCTTAATTTAACATCTTCTATATATTCTTACATGTAAACACTATATCAAATCACCCCTTAATATTTCCTTCTATTATGGTTGGCCACTACCTTTATAACAACACCATGATTTCTTTCAAATTTGTGCAAAGTTCACAAGTTTGTCAACCAAATACAATTTAATTATAATAAATATGTCAAGAGTCCTAATTCATCAACAACAATCCCTAACTAAAAATTAAAAATTTCCAACTAAAATATATCTAAATCTCATTTAAACTTGTTAAAATTGATATAAACACCTTTCCAAACTATTATTTAAGCTTTAAATGCCCACCAAACAAATTTTAAGGATTTCCCCTTCCTTTTTCCTTACTTGGCCAAATTTCTTCCCTTGATTTTCACCCCCTCTCACTTGTTTCTTTCTTATTTTGATGTTTTAGATGGATTGAACTTTACAAACTCTCAATATCTCCTCTCAAATCTACATTTACCTCATGTTTTTTAATCTAAGTTTTTCTCTCCATTTCTTTAAAACATTCAAGAAAAATCACCATCTTTTCCTTCCTTTAATGGTCGACTATCGCGCATGTGCGCGCGCGCACACACACATATATATAACAATTAGGTTAATTCCTATTACATCCCACCTTTATACCTTTTCATGCTCTCGAGTAAATTTTTAACTACTCGAGAAGCTGTATATGCCATTTTTGAATGGACGATATCAAAATTTATTAAAATTTATCCTATAACCTGATTTTCCTGATTCATTATCTTCATTTGGTTTTTATTCACATTTTTAATTTTTTAGCTATTTTTTGTCATTTATTTTTTTTAAAAAAACCATATATAAAAATTTTATTTTAATTTCTCTTATCTATCATTATCCTCCCTGAGTTAAATATTCATTTCACTCACTTAGTATAATTTTCCCCTCATTAATTTTGTAAATTTTATCCCAAAACCTAATCTCTTAGTAAGGTACATGGTTTAGCATATCCTTTCTCATTGGTGTGTTCAAGTGATGCATCCATTTAAACTGCATCTTGATTAGCCGACATTGTTGCCACTTTTTTCTAGGTCTAGGAGTGTTAGATGATCTTTAGCCAATTCATCATC